GGGTGTTGACATTTATCCGCTTGTGTTTCACACCAACAGAGGACCTTTTAAATTCAATGTATAGGTGGGGCTCAGTGGCACCTGTAATCCCAGCACTACTTTCGGAGGTCGATGGGGACAGATCACCTGAAGTCAGGAGTTTGAGACCAGCCTGGCCAACATGGTTAAACCCCATCTCTACTAAAAATACAAAAATTAGCTGGGAGTGATGGCGGGTGTCTATAATCCCAGCTACTTGGGAGGCTGAGGCAGGAGAATCGCCTGAACCTGGGAGACGGAGGTTGCAGTGAGTGGAGATCATGCCATTGTACTCCAGCCTGGGTGACAAGAGCAAAACTCTGTCCTCCCAAAAAATAAATAAATACAACTGGCCAGGATAATTTTGATGGATTGAGAGATGGCTGTTATATCCAATCCCAATGTGTCATGATAATGTTTGATGTAATATCAAGAGTTACTTACAAGAATGTGCCCAACTAGCACAGAGATCTGGTCTGAGTGTGTGAACATCTTCATCGTGTTGTGTGGCAACAAGGTGGATATTAAGTATACAGAAAAGTGAAGGCAAAATCAACTGTCTTCTACCAAAAGAAGAATCTTCAATCCTATAACATTTCTACCAAAAAACAAAAACTACAACTTTGTTTCTTGTGCTTTTTGTTTTTTACTTTTTTTTGGGACAGGGTCTGATTCTGTCACCCAGGCTGGAGTCAGTGCTGTGATCTTGGCTCACTGCAACCTCTGCCTCCTGGACTCAAGTGATCTTTCTACCTCAGCCTCCTGAGTAGCTGGGACTACAGTTATACCACTACACACAGCTACTTTTGGTATTTTTTTTTGTAGAAACACTGTTTTACCATGTTGGCCAGCCTGGTCTCAAACTCCTGGGCTTAAGTAGTCCACCTGCCTTGGCCTCCCAGAGTGCTGGCATTACAGGCATGAGCCACTACGCCTCACTGAAAAGTTACTACAACTTTGAAAAGTCCTTCCTCTGGTTTGCTAGGAAGCTCTTCAGAGACCGTAAGTTGGAGTTGGTTACCATGCCTGCTCTTGCCCTACGAAGGGCTGTCATGGACCCAGCTGTGGCAGTACAGTATGAACACGAATTAGAGGTTGCTCAGACAACCGCCCTCCTGGATGAAGATGATGGACGGCCTGTGAGGATGAAGCTGGAGCTCAGTGTCAGAGTCTAGTTTTACAGGAAGCTGTCCTGGGATGTCAGCAGTGCAGTGTGTGTGCCACTTTATTATTACCTGTGGGATGCTGAAGGACATGAATGGGCTTCAGAGTAAAGCAGCAGTTCAAAAAATACCTTCATTGTTTGGACCTGCATTTTTAGCTGTTTTGGAACACAGTTGATTTCTTCTTGAGTTTCAGATATGAGACACTACAGTCATATCGCATATTCAGTGGTGAAATCTTGTTACTGTCATTCCCATTCCTTCTCATTCAGAATCAGAATAAAGTTGTATTTCTAATGTCTTTTAAAAAGTTACAATACAGTAAAATCAAAATTTTTAATATTTTATTTGAAGTTAGTGGGTTTTTTATCCTATTTAAGAAATCTTGGTTGGACACGGTAGCTCACATCTGTAATGCCAGCACTTTTGGAGGCCAAGGTGGGAAGGTCGGTTGAGGCCAGGAGTTTGAGACCAACCTGGGCAACATAGCGAGACCCTGTCTCTATTTAATAAAAAACAAAAGGGAAGAAAGAAAGAAATCTTTATCTATCTCAAGGCTTTGAAGATACTTCTCTAGGTTTTTATCTAGAACTTTATTGTTTACTTTTTACATTCAGGTCCACCCTTCACCTAAAATTAATTTTGTGTATGTTATAAGGTAAGAATCAAGCTTTAATTTCTTACAATATGGATATCAGCACCACTTACTGAAAAGATCATCATTTTCCCTACTGAATTTCTGTAGCAATTTTGTCATAAATCATATGGGTTGGTTTCTAGTTTTGGTTTTTGGGGTTTTTTTTGAGACAGAGTCTCCCTCTTATCACCCAGACTTGGAGTGCAGTGGTGTGATCTCAGCTTACTACAACCTCTGCCTCCCAGCTTGAAGCAGTTCTCCTGTCTCAGCCTCCAAGTAGCTGGGATTACAGGCACCTGCCACCACGCTTGGCTAATTTTTGTATTTTTAGTAGACATGCGGTTTCACCACGTTGGCCAGGCTGGTCTCGATCTCCTGACCCCAGGTGATCCACCTGCCTTGGGCTTCCAAAGTGCAGGGATTACAGGCATGAGCACAGCACCTGGCTGGTTTCTAGATTTTGTTCTATCCGCCTAAACCAACTGTATTAAATTTTGTGCCAATACTAACTGTATTAAATTTTGATATTTGACAACCAACAGAATGGGAAAAAATTTTTGCAATCTACCCATCTGACATAGGGCTAATATCCAGAATCCACAAAGAACTTAAACAAATTTACAAGAAAAAACCAAACAACCCCATCAAAAAGTGGACGAATGATATGAACAGATACTTTTCACAAAAAAGACATTTATACAGCCAAAAACATATGAAAAAAATGCTTATCATCACTGGTCACTAGAGAAATGCAAATCAAAACCACATCGTGATACCATCTTACGCCAGTTAGAATGGCGATCATTAAAAAATCTGGAGACAACAGATGCTGGAGAGGATGTGGAGAAATAGGAACACTTTTACACTGTTGGTGGGAGTGTAAACTAGTTCAACCATTGTGGAAGACAGTGTGGCGATTCCTCAAGGATCTAGAAATAGAAATTCCATTTAACCCAGCAATCCCATTACTGGGTATATACCCAAAAGATGACAAATCCTTCTATTATAAAGACACATGCACATGTGTGTTCACTGCAGCACTGTTTACGATAGCAAAGACTTGGAACCAACCCAAATGCCCATCAATGATAGACTGGATAAAGAAAATGTGGCACATATACACCACAGAATACTATACAGCCATAAAAAGGATGAGTTCATGTCCCTTGCAGGGTCATGGATGAAGCTGGAAACCATCATTCTCAGCAAACTGACACAGAACAGAAAACGAAACACTGAATGTTCTCACTCATAAGTGGTTGTTAAGCAATGAGAACACAGGGACACAGGGAGGAGAACATCACATACCAGGGCCTACTGGGGGATAGGAGAGCTAGGGGAGGGATAGCAGGAGGTGGGGGGTTTGGGGAGGGATAACATTAAGAGAAATACCTAATGTAGTTGAGAAGAATGGATGCAGTAAACCACCATGGCATGTGTATACCTATGTAACAATCCTGCATGATCTGCACATGTACCCCAGAACTTAAAGTATAAAAAAAAATTACATTTGAAAGTGTAAGTCTCCAGTTTTGATAAGCATCTTGAAGATTGCCTGAAGCTATTCCAGGTCCTTGCATTTACATATAAAATGTAGAATCATCCTGTCAATTTTCACCAAAAATCCCATGGAGAATTCAATTGGAATTGCATTAAATGTATAGATCAAATTGTTAACATCTTAATACTTACTCTGTCGCTCTAAGCATATAGCAGCATATTCTTCCATTTATTTATATTTTCTTTAATTTCTCTCAGCAATATTTTGTAGTTTTCAGTGGAGAAATCTTATAAAACTTTCATTAGCTTTTTTCTAGGAATTTGATATTTTGGTTCTATTTGTAAGTGGTATCTTTTTAAAATTTCATTTTCTAATTGTTGCAGTTACATAAAAATATAATCAATATTTTGTATATTGATTTTATATCCATGGAACTATTTAAATTCATGCATGAATATTAACCATTTGATTGTGGTTATCTATACTCATAATTATGTCATCTACAAATAATGACTCTAACTTTTTTCTTTCCAATTTTAAACCTCATAATTCTTTTTCTTACCTTATTGCACTGGTGATGCCTTCCAGTACGACGTTGAATAGAAGTGATTAGAGTGAACATCACTATCCAGTTCCCAACCCCAGAGGGAAAGTGCTCAATTTCACCAGTAAGTGATGTTAGCTGAGATAGTTTTGTAAATAGCCTTCTTTAAAATAAGAAAGAAAGAAATTGAAGCTGGTTATGGAGGCATACACCTGTAGTCCTAGCTACTCTGGAGGCTGGGGCAGGAGGATCCCTTGAGACCAGGAGTTCAAGGCTATAGTGTATACCATGAGTGCATCTGGGAATAGCCACTGCATTCTTGCCTGGGCAACATAGCAAGATCCTGTCTTGGATCTTGCTATCCAAGATAGCAAGGAAGGAAGGAAGGAAGGAGGGAGAGAGTAGGGAGGGAGCTGGTTTTCTATTTCTCCTTGTAAGTTGTGTTATTAAGTACATACATATTTATAATTGTATCTTCTTAAAGAATTGACTGTTTTGTCATTATGAAATGTCCCTCTTTGTCTATGGTAATATTTCTGTGTTAAAGTAATCTTAGCTGACTAACAATACAGCCATACCAGCTTTCTTATGGTATCTGCATAATATATCTTTTTAGAATTCTTTTACTGCCAGTGATTGCACATCTTATATTTAAAAGCATGCTTCTTATTTTTCAAATAAAAAAAAGAAAAAACATAGTTGAATATTATTTTGTTTTAATCCATTCTGCCAATCTAGGTCTTTTAATTGCATATTTAGTGCATTTACACTTAATGTAATTGTTGGTATAACTGAGTTTAAGTCTATTATCTTGCTGTAAGTTCTGTTTTATCCCGTTTGTTCTTTGTTCCTTTGTTCTTCCTCTACTTTGTTCCTTTGTTCTTCTTTTAGTTTAATCAAGTGTTTTAAATCTATTTTATCTCTCTCTTAGCTCTTTAGTTAAACCTATTTTTGCATGTTCTTTTAGTAGTTATTCTAGATCGCTATATGCATGTTTAATTTATTCTTTTCCTTTTTTTTTTTTTTTTTTTAGTTTCCAGACATCCTCTGAAAGTTTAATTTATTATAATTTACAGATGTTCCTCAACTTATCATGGGGTTATGTCCCAATATGCCCATTGTAAGTCAAAAATATTGTTAAGTTGAAAATGCATTTAATCATCCCAATGAACTCATTGTAAAGCTGAAAAATTGTAAGTCAAACCACTGTAGTCACGGACTGTCTGTGCTTTGAATTAGTATTTCACCACATCTTATACATACTGTAAGATGTCTAAAACCTTACAATAATGTCTTAGACCTTTTGTGTTGCCATGAATGAACACCTGAGGCTGGGTAATTTATAAAGAAAAGAGGTTATTTGGCTCACAGTTCTGCAGGCTCTCCAAGAAGCATGGTGCTAGCATTTGCTTCTGATGATGACCTCAGTCTGTTTCCACACACTGCAGAAGATAAATCTAGGTTAGCATGTGCAGAGATCACATGGTGAGAGGAAGCAAGAACAAGAGGAGGGAGGTGCCATGCTCTTTCTAACAACCAGCTCTCACAGGAACTAATAAGAGCTCCCCACTCCCAAGAGGGCATTACTCTATTCATGAGGGATCCCCCAACCATGACCATAGTACCTCCCATTAGGCCCCACCTCCAACATTGGGGATCAAATTTCAACATGAAGTTTAGGGGAACAAACATCTAAATTCTAGTAAACAATATAATTCCATGCCCCCATTATGTTATTGTTATCATAGAATTTTACTTTTATTATGTTATAATTATCACAATTATTATTGATTTAAACATATAATTTAGTCTTAGATGATTTTACATTTACCTTTACCAGTGCTCTTCATTTCTTCTTACAGATCTGTGTTTCTCTTTAGGATCATTTTCCTTCAGTGTGGAGAATGTCCTTTAGTATTCCTTGTGATGTGAATCTGCTGGAAATGAATTAACTCTTATTTGTGTGAAAATATGTTTATCTTCTTCAGCTATCAAATGTTTGAAGACTCTTTTGTCTCAGTAAAATTCTAGGCTGTAATTTGTTTTTCAGTATTTGAAAGATGTTACTCCATTTTTTTTTTTAGTTTCCATTGTTGCTGTTGAAGAGTAAGCTGTAATTTTTCTTATTCGTTCCTGTGAATGTAATGTGCTTTCTCCCTTTAGCTGCTTATAAGGTTTTTTTGGTTGTCTTAGGTTTTCAGCAGCTTGACAATACCTAGGTATTTCTTTCCCTCTCTCTCTCTCTCTCTCTCTCTCTCTCAAATCTGCTTGAGGTTTACTGGGATTCTTGGATCTGTAGGTTAATATTTTTAATCAATTTTGGAAAATTCTCAGTATCTTTTCAAATATTTTTTCTGCCTTATTCTCTTTATTTTCTCCTCGTGGAACTCAAACTACGGATATGTTAGATATTTTTCACACATCTCTCACACACTGTTCTTATTGTTTTTTTATTTGTACTTTAGTTTTCAAAATTTCTATTGATGTGTTTTAGAACAGCAGTCCCCAACCTTTTTGGCACCAGGGAATAGTTTTGTGGAAGACAATTTTTCCAGGAACTGGGGGCAATGGGGGCAGGGGTTGATGGTTTCAGAATGATTCAAGCTCATTACATGATGAGGGATGAGAAAGCAATTCAATTACGTATTTTTCCATATGGCTGTTCGGTTATCCCAATACCTTATTAGCAAATCCTTTGCTCCATTTTTACTTATTGATTATTCTTAGTAAGATGAAAGCTTCTGATTTCTGTATATTATTTTTATATATTGATACTTTATTAAGTTCTCTATAGAAATTTCCTATTTTTTCTGTTGAGTTTTCAAGTTATATAATTACATCATCTGCAAATAAGTTTTACCTTTTCTTTTCCAATTCTTATGACTCTAATTGCTTTTTCTTCTGTAATTGAATTGGCTGACACCTCAAATCCAATCAATATCTAATCATGATAAACATTTGTGTTATTGCAAACTAGAAGTAGAAAGTAACTCCTTCTTTTGACCAAAAGTTATATACCAGAAATTCAAAGGAAACATTATATTTAGTGGGAAAAACCTTAAAAGTATTTCATTAGAAGGAATAAGGCAAAGATGCCAACCATTACCCCTAACGTTTAACATAGTCCTGAGGATCCTGGTCAATGCAATAAGGACACCAAATAAAAGGTATGAGCATTCAGAGAAAAGATATGTGCAGCCAGGTACGGTGGCTCATGCCTGTAATCCCAGCACTTTGGGAGGCCGAGGTGGGCAGATCACCAGAGGTCGGGAGTTCGAGACCAGCATGGCCAAGATGGTGAAATACTGTCTCTATTAAAAATACAAAAATTAGCCGGGCATGGTGGTGCATGCATGTAGTCCCCGCTACTGAGGAGGCTAAGACGGAAGAATTGCTTGAACCTGGAGGCAGAAGCTGCAGTGAGCTAAGATCTCGCCACTGCACTCTAGCCTGGGCGACAGAGCAAGACTCCAACTCAAAAAAAAAAAAAAAAAAAAAGAAGCATAAAGACAAATAATGACCTTAATAAGAAATGGAGAGATAGTATGTATTTTTCATAGGGATGACAATATAATAGAGATTATATTGTTAATTATATTTCATATATATATGAATTATAAATATATAAATTTATATATATTTAAATTATAAAGATTATATTGTTAATTCTTCCCAAACTAATTTATAATTACAATACAATCACAATTAAAACTAATTAAATATTTTTGAGAAACTCAGCAAACTTACTGTAAATTCTAAATAGAAGAATAAGGTCAGTGAATAGTAGCCAAATTAGACTTGAGAAAAAAGAGAGAGATTCCCCTGTCAGATAGTAAGACATGCTACAGGCCAGATGTGGTGGCTCATGCCTGTAATCCCAGTACTTTGGGAGGGATTACAAAAAAAAAGTACACTACAAAACAATACTAATAAAAATCTGTTTTTTTTTTTTTTTTTCCTTGAGATGGAGTCTCACTCTGTCGCCCGGGCTGAAGAGCAGTAGTGCAATCTTGGCTCACTACAACCTCTGCCTCCCAGGTTCAAGCGATCAAGCTATTCTCTTGCCTTAGCCTCTCCAGTAGCTGGGATTACAGGCAGGCACCACCATGCCTGGTTACTTTTTTTGGCATTTTTAGTAGAGATGGGTTTTTACCATGATGGCCAGGCTGGTCTTGAACTCCTGACCTCGTGATTTGCCCACCTTGGCCTCCCAAAGTACTGGGATTACAGGCATGAGCCACCGTGCCCAGCCAAATCTGGGTTTTATTGGCATAAGAACTTTCAAATAGAACAGTGGGCTAGAAGAGAGTTCAGGAATAGATACATTGTATATATGGAAACTTAATATAAAATAAAGGTGTTTCATAAACCATTCAGGAAATAATAATTTACATTTGACATTAATGAAACTGGCTTACTCTAAGGAGAAAAATAAAACTGATTTCCTACCCATGCCACATGCAAAGTCTATCTTTGGAAGGACTGAACCATAAATGTATAATATAAATCTATGCAGTTAATGAATATACAAAGGGTGGGTAATAACTTCTTTAAACCTCTAAGCACAAATCATAACACAAAAAAGAAAGGAAATAATTAAATAAAAATGAAGGCTGGGCATGGTGGCTCAGCCTATAATCCCAGCACTTTGGGAGGCTGAGGCGGGTGGATCACAAGGTCAAGAGATGGAGGCCATCCTGGCCAACATGGTGAAACCCCGTCTCTACTAAAAATACAAAAATTAGGTGGGCATGGTGGTGCATGCCTGTAGTCCCAGCTACTCAAGAGGCTGAGGCAGGAGAATCAAGTGAACCTGGGAGACAGAAGTTGCAGTGAGCTAAGATCGCGTCACTGCACTCCAGCCTGGTGACAGAATGAGATCTGTCTCAAAAAAATAAATAAAGTTAAAAAAAAATTAAGACTTCCGTTCAATGAAGACATTGATAAATAAAATTAACCGACAGACTGGGAAAAGATGTTTGCAGTGTCTAAAACCAACGAGGGATTATTAATACCTAGACATATTATTTACTGTTGCAAATCAATAAGAAAAAGAAAGGTACCTTAATAGAGACTTGGGCAAAGGATACCAAAAGGCAATTTTGGAATAAAGAATGGCCAGGTGCTGTGGCTCCCACCTGTAATCCCAGCACTTTGGGAGGCTGAGGCGGGCAGATAACTTGATGTCAGGAGTTCGAGACCAGTCTGGCAAATATGCTGAAACCCCATCTCTACTAAAAAATACAAAAATTAGCTGGGTGTGGTGGTGGGTGCCTGTAATCTCAGCTACTTGGGAGGCTGAGGCAGGAGAATCATGTGAACCTGGGAGGTGGAGGTTGCAGTGAGCTGAGATTGTGCCATTTCACTCCAGCCTGGATGAAAGAGCAAGACTCCATCTCCAAAAAAATAAAAAATAAAATAAAGAAGCCTAAATGCCTATGAGGAGATAAGCCAGCATATTAGTAATCAGACACATGATAAATAAAATGAATTACCATTGTATACCTATCAGACTGACAAAGTTCAGAAAGTAAAATAACATCCATTGTTGGTGTTTGGATGTGACTACAGAGATCCTTATGCACTGCTGATATGAGTGTAAATGGGTACACTACTTTGGAGAGCCATTTAGTCACATTACATATTGTTTATGCATGGATTGAATAGCTAGAAATTCTGTTACTGCATGTGTATGCAAAAGAAATTCTCCAGGCGCAGTGGCTCACACCTGTAATCTCAGCACTTTGGGAGGCCAAGATGGGCAGACTACCTGAGGTCAGGAGTTCGAGAACAGCCTGACTAACGTGGTAAAACCCCGTCTCTACTAAAAATACAAAATTAGCTGGGTGTGGTGGCACACGCCTGTAATTCCAGCTACTCGGGAGGCTGAGAGGCAGGAGAATCACTTGAATCCAGAAGGCAGAGGTTGCAGTTAGCCAAGATCGTGCCATTGCACTCCAGCCTGGGCAACAAGACCAAAACGCCATCTTAAAAAAAAAGAAAAGGAAAAAGAAAAGAAAGAAATTCTTACATGGATCATTAAAGGGACAGGTATAATGATGTCCATTACTGTAGTCATGGACAAATAAAATGTGGTTGGGACATACCTGGAAACTGAGCAGAAGTTACAAGCAATGGACTACATGCACACTGGCACAATGGATGGATCTTAAAAGTCACAGTGCTAAAGAATGTGCTCAGTGTGTGTCTATTGTATCTTTATTTTTACTTTATTTTACTTTTTTGAGACAGAGTCTCGCTCTGTCCCCCAGGCTGGAGTGCAGTGGCACAATCTCCACTCACTGCAACCTCTGCTTTTCAGGTTCAAGAGATTCTCCTGCCTCAGCCTCCCAAGTAGCTGGGACTACAGGTGCCCGCTACCATGCCCAGCTAATTTTTATATTTGAAGTAGAGACGGGGTTTCACCATATTGGCCAGGCTGGTCTTGAACTCCTGACCTTGTGATCTGCCTGTCTCGGCCTCCCAAAGTGCTGGGATTACAGGTGTGACCCACCTTGCCCGGCCTATTGTATCTTTAAATATATTAATATTAGAGATGGGCTGGAGTGTAGTGGCTATTCACCATCTCCATCATAGGAGCACTGCAGCCTCCACCTCTTAGGTTCACAGGATCCTCCTGGTTCAGCCTCCCAGTAGCTAGGACTACAGGTGAGCGCTGTGCCTGGCTTTTTTTTTTTTTTCTTTTTTGAAATGGAGTCTCACTCTCTTGCCCAGGCTGAAGTGCAGTGGAAAGATCTCAGCTCAGTGCAATCTCCACTTCCTGGGTTCAAGTGATTCTCCTGCCTCAGCCTTCCAAGTAGCTGGGACTACAGGTGTCCACCACCACACCTGGCTAATTTTTTTTTTTTTGTATTTTTAGTAGAGGTGGGGTTTCACCATGTTGACCAAGCTGGTTTTGAACTCCTAAATTCAAGTGATCTACCCACCTTGACTTCCCAAAGTGCTGGGATTGCAGGTGTAAACCACTGTGCCCAGCCGGCTTTTTTTTTTTTCCTTTGTAAAATATGTGCGGCTTATTTTTATTTTATCTTACTTTTCTGAGACAAGTCCTATTATGTTACCCAGGCTGGTCTCGAGCTCCCATGCTCAGGTGATCCTTCTGCCTCAGCCTCCCAAGTAGCTGAGACTTACAGGTGCTGCCATGGCACCTGGCTGTGTCTGTCTTAAAACAAAACTTCTATGGATGTCTGTATATATTTTTAAACAATGGATGAGGAAGGGGAATAAATTAAGTCTAATGGATGGGTGAGGATGACAAGACAGGAAGACATGAACAGACAATACACAAAATTATTCAATTATTTCTGAATGATGGCATTATGAGTGATTGTAATGTGATTTTGTACAGTTTCCTCAATTAACTTAATATTATGTTACATTAATCAGAAAGAAAAGTAAACTCACATAAAGTAATCAGACTCAGAACCTTTCTGAAGGGGATCAGTGACTACCTTTATTTTCCTCTGATTATTGTTTATTTGGTTTTCTACTCCTAGACCCAATCTTGGTCACATTTTTCGTAGAAAATAATTTATCTCATACAGATATCCAAGTGGGTAAAGTTGTATGTAGTAGCTGTGTGGGTACCACCCGCTATAGGCACCGAAGAAGGAGAACTGTCTAGACCCCAGGCACAATTAGTGCCTGAAGAATATCTTAGTTTATAGTGTTATTACTCAGCTATTTCCTTTATATAATCCTTTAATATAATCATATATTAGTTTATAAAATTAATGCCTGAAGTATAACTTACTGCTTACATACCTCTACCTTATATAATCATACTTAATACTTATATCTAGCATACTTAGTTCTATATAATCTTTCTATATAATCATATAGGTATTGTAGTCGGAGCTGTACTGATACATTTAGTGCTGATTTATATATTCTTCTATATAACTATATAGTAGTTTGTAGTAGGAGGAATGCCTAGCATAGTCACAGAACAGAAGCAGTACATGGGAAAACAGCCAGACCAGGACAAGAACCAAAGACCCAGGCAGTGGCATCCCTGCCTGAAAGGGCATACGCTGTATGGCAGGCTTGGAGCAAGAGCCTCTCCTCCTGATAAAGGAGTTGTAGCACCTTGTATCCAGTTCCTGTGGAAAGTAGACCTCAGGCCTCAGATCCTGGAAATAACCGAGGGAGAAGAACCCCTCTGGTGTGACCAGTCACTGAGGCTGTACACCCTGTCAGTCTTTTCTTGCTTCTGTGCTAGCTCAAATCATCCTCCCATAAATATCTTAAGAGAAGAACACAAGTCTGTCAGCTCCCATTGCATTGGCTTACAGTATCCTTCTATTAGAAATCCTTTGAAGTCTCTAGCCCCCAGGTAAGAAAGGTTGCCCACGACACCTGTTGCACATAGCCCACCTCCTTGCCAGTGGCCTAATGGGGGTGGACACCTTTTCTGTACACGACCCTCTACTACTGCATACAGTACGACCCCCTACTGCGCACGGCCCACCTCTCTGCCCAAGTGACATAATGGGTTGGCCCCCTCACTTGTGACTCACATGATTATGTATGCCCTATTACTAAGCCTGTAGATGATGACCTCACTTATGACCCTGCCCCTGCTCGTACATAATAAATACAGATGCTTCTGGGCATTGGGGGCTCTCGCTGATCTCCGCTCACAGGTAGCGTGGTCCCCCGAGTCCAGATGCTCTTCACCAGTTCTTCAGTGTCCTATCTCTTTACTTTTCGGATCCTGCACCTCAGCACAGCATAAGGGACACCCCATCACCCTGTGGGGCCCTACAGCCCTACGAACTGAATAATCATCATCATAACTCTTCTATAGTCAATTATTTCTTTAATGTGTCTGCTCTTCTTAACTGAAGTCATTTCCTAAGCTATTTTGGACAATTTAATAACAATCAAGGAATACACTGTTCACCAGTCGATAGCGTCTCCAGAAATCATCCAAAAATAAGCTACATATAAAAAGGTTTTGACTGGGGTGGGCACAGTGGCTCACCCCTGTAATCCCAGCACTTTGAGAGGCCGAAGTGGGCAGATCATGAGTCAAGAGATGGAGACCATCCTGGCCAACACGGTGAAACCCCATCTCTACTAAAAATACAAAAATTAGATGGGCATGGTGGTGCAAGCCTGTAGTCCCAGCTACTCAAGAGGCTGAAGCAGGAGAATTGATTGAACACAGGAGGTGGAGGTTGCAGTGAGTCAAGATCACACCACTGCACTCCAGCCTGGTGACAGAGTGAGACTCCATCTCAAAACAAAAAAAGTTGTTGACTTTCTACCATAATAAGATTTATATATTTTGCCACTCTGTCTGAAAATTCTGGCTGGATTATTTAGGGGGCTGATATGAGACCTGAATAAGTTAATACATGCTAAGGTGTTATATATGGTGCCTGACACATAGTTAATGTTCAACTTACTGCTATAGTGAATAAAAACTGCTAATAATGATGACATTAGCTACAGACTCCTTTTCTATCAGCCATGCCACCCGGCACAGGCCTAGGCACAAAATATAATATTTAGATAGATGCTCAGCAACTGATGGATGTCAACATTTGGGATTTCCCTTTACACTTGAAATACCATAGCTCACTTTATGTGTTTTCTAAAATGCTCTAGGTAGCCATTGATTTTTAATTTTATTCTCTAGAGACTGTGTTGCCCAGGCGGGAGTACAGTGTGGTGGTCTCAGTTCCACCTCCTGGGTTCAAGAGATCCTCCCACCTCAGCCTTCTGAGTAGCTGGAACTATAGGCACACACGACCATGCCCGCTAATTTTTGTGTTTTTTTTTATACAGACAGGGTTTCACCATGTTGTCCTGGCTGGTCTTGAACTCCTGAGCTCAAGCAATCTGCCTGCCTCGGCCTCCCAAAGTGCTGGAATTACAGGCATGAGCCACTACGCCAGTAATTTTTAAAAAATCAACTATTGGCCAGACAAGGCACTTTGGGAGGCCAGGGCGGGAGAATTGCTTCAGCCCAGGAGTTTGAGACTAGCCTGGGCAACAGTCCAACCCTGTCTCTACGAAAACAAAAAATTAGTCAGGTATGGTGGCCCACACTGTAGTCAGCTACTCTGGAGGCTGGGATGGGAAAATCAGCTGAGCGGGGGAGGTCGAGGCTGAAGTGAGCCATGATCGCGCCACTGCACTCGAGCCGAGGTGACAGAGGGAGATCCTGTCTCAAAAATAAATAAAAAATAAAATAAAAATAAGCTGTTGGTTCAACTCAACTCTCTTAATTTTGTTTATGAATTTCTGCCTTTATCTTAATGTTCGGGATTTATTTGAGACCGGGTCTTGCTCTGTCGCCCAGGCTGGAGTGCAGTGGCACGATCTTAGCTCACTCCAGCCTCCGCCTCCCTGGCTCAAGGGATCCTCCCACCTCAGCCCCTCAAGTAGTTGGGATTGCAGGCGCGCGCCACCACGCCCGGCTAGTTTTTGTATTTTTTTTTTAGAGGGAGAGTCTCACTTTGTTGCCCAGGCTGGTCCTGAACTCCTGGACTCAAGCTATCCGCCTGCCCCAAAGTGCTGGGATTTCGGGCGTGAGCCACCGCGCCCGACCTAATTTAGGGCTTTCTTATTTTCTAATCAATGTGTTCAAGGCGATACATTTTCCTCAAAGTGTCGCTCTGACTGCATGCCACAATGTGAATAATTACAGGCAGGGATGCATATTAGGCGCTCACCACAGTTAGCTCCCTTTAAACGTATCCTGTACTGGGCCGACAAGCGTTTGCTAGGCGTCCGCGGAACTCCAAGGTGCTCTTCCTCAAAGCCACTTTACCTGCGGAGTCCCTTTTCTCCCGCGCGGGCAACGCCTCCCGGTCTGGTCGTCACGCCCCCTCACGTCACTCACCGCCCCGCCACGTTCCCATGATACCACGCAGGTGCCAAAAACAAGACCGAAACCTCCGTGCCCTTCCGCTTTTTCAAAGGCATCTCTGCGACGATGGCAAGAAAAATAGTTCCTTGACAACTGAGATCTTTTCAGAAGGAGGCGGGACCAGGTGGGGCTTACGTGCGGAACGAAACGGAAGTCCGTGGTTCTTGCAACAGGATTGGGCCCCGCGCTCCCGGGGGCCGGGCTCAGAAGGGCGGAGGGATTCACTTTAAGCCGCGGGCGGCCCTCCGCCTCCATTGAAGGCGGGGAGATCGGCGCGGCCGGTAGTTGCTGTGGTTTCTGTTCTGAGCTCGCAGCGTAGGAGCTGAAGATCGTGGACCTAGCGTTCCCGCGTCCGAGTCTGGCCGTCAGTGGCTGCAGATCCGGAGGCCAGGAGGTCAACCGCCCAGGGCAGGCCCGCTGCTGTGCATTCGCCGCTCGGTGCCTGTAACTAACTACTCCAGGGTCTAGGTCGGCTCTCGGGCGGCTGAGGAGAAGGCCGCCGCCGAGATGTTCAAAAACACGTTCCAGAGCGGCTTCCTCTCCATCCTCTACAGCATTGGCAGCAAGCCCCTGCAAATCTGGGACAAAAAGGTCTGGCTAGGGGCGGCGGCGTGACGGGGTGCAGGGGCTGCGCCCCCTCCTCGTCCAGGGGTTGGGGACGGGGAATGATTGTGTCGATTTGGGGCCTGGGAGAGGCCGAGAGGACGCTGTTGTGCCTTGTCCGCAGCCTGGCGGGACTGGGGCGCGAGGTGGGGGCGTCGCTTAAGTAGCGGAGGAGGTGGGCGTGGCTGGGAGCTAAGTGTCCTGAAGCTGTGGTGTGGTTAGGGCCGCGACCCCCGCTCCTGACTTGACTTGGTCAGTCCATTCTTTTGAGCCACTGTTTCCCCATCAGTATAATGGAGTTGATGGTGCCCATCTCCTAGCATGAAACGTACAAACTTATGTGAGGGAGCTCTGGGGACATACAGACGAAAGGACTTGGATTCCACAAATGTTTACTGATATGCTGTTTTGTGCCAGGCACGGTGCTGGGCACTAGACACAGAGCCTTTGTTCAGGCACCCTTAAAAAGGCGCAGCCAGCCAGGAAGGCTCCGGCGAAGCCAGTGATGTTTGGATTTTATTCATTTGCTCCCTTCCTCCCACTGATCCCAAATAAGCCAGAATTCAGTGGCCCTTGGCACCTGCTCCACACTCACTGTGACTTGCCTGTACTATGCCCTCGTGCCTGATTTCTCCATCAGGAAAACTTCAGAATGCTGACAGTCAAAGTCTTGTTTGGATTAAGAAACTCAGAGCCAAGTACGAGCCTCATCTTCATTCAGGAATCCACTAGATGATATTTTCTTTGGCTCCAGGAGATGATGACTCTGTCTGCTTTTTACAGATGTGAAGATCTAGCTGTCTATGAGTTGATCTGCATTTTATTACTTTGGTATTTCGTTCTAAATACAAATTCCCAGGCAATCAGCTGTACTATTTCTTGATTATAAGTTACGGGAGGCACTCCAATGTGCAATTTTTAGGGGATATTCTGGGAGAATGGGGAGAGTTGGTATGCTGAATGCTGTTTTTAATAGTGATGCATGTGGAATAATCTCAGCAGGGTTTATTGGTAATGAAGCCAAGAATTTTGGATTTTATCTTGGAACAACTCTCTGTATTCCCTTATCCACAGATGAGAACTTTGGGCCACATAAATTTGGGAGAGAACACGGGCAGCTTTCTGCCTGTCACACTAGGGGGACCCCTTCGTTCTGAGGGCAGCTTTGAGGGTGGTGTGTTCATAGTGTTACTTTCGTAAGATGGTTGAAAGATCTGAATATAATGACATTGGGTCGTTGTGTATGTAAAATCAACCCATCTCTTCTCTTTCAGATGATTCTGTCTACAAGCTAGAGCTAGTACCAGAGTATAGGAAAGCAGTTCCTTAACGTCGCTGCATTACTGAGGTTTTTAGTTTCATGGGTTTTTTTTTCACAATAGAATAAAACATTGTAAACTGTAAATTGCATCTGTACAAAGAGACCCCAGGGTGCCTGGGAACTTTGTAAGGAGATTGGCTTCCCAGCCATCAGGCATGAAGAGAGGGGGTCCCTCTGTGGCAGTGAAACTTGGAAACTGAATTGTAACAAAGTGTCAGTATAAGGCAATTGAAATAGAGAATGGTACTTGACCTAGGAGGAGGGGTTTTCAGAGCAGATCAGAGAATTTACTAAAGCTGAAAGAAGCTGGGAGCAGCAGCTCATGCCTATAATCCCAGGACTTTGGGAGGCTGAGGTGGGCAGATCATGAGGTCAGGAGTACGAGACCAGCGTGATCAACATGGTGAAACCCTGCCTCTACTAAAAATACAAATATTAGCCTGGTGTGGTGGCGCGTGCCTGTAATCCCAACTACTCAGGAGGCTGAGGCAGAAGAATCGCTTGAACCTGGGAGGTGGAGGTTGCAGTGAGCCAAGATCGTGCCACTGCACTCCTGCCTGGGCAACAGAGTGAGACTCTGTCTCAGGAAAAAAATAAATAAATAAATAAATACAGCTGAAAGGATTCCAGTAGTAGGGAGACCTCAGAATTTCTGTTATGAAACTTGTGTCAGTTTTCCATTTTAACCCTTCTGGGCTTAATCTTGTGTGCTGTTTTATTTTTCAAATGCGGCTTTTTGACTAGTCAACATGTTTACTCAAGAACAGAAAAGCAAAGTCACCATGGTGCACTGTTGCCCTTAACAATGCCACTAGAGGTCGGATGGTACCCTAATGACATAAACACGTTGGAAAACATTGTTATATTGATTGGCAGCGTTACTTGGAGTATATTAAACAGACGTTTTGGCAAAACCTTCAGAACAGTCATTTCACGCAAAATCTTCACAATGGTAAAAGTTTTTGATGTGTTTCTAACTCTTCTTATTTAGACTCAATCGAAAAATGTTTAGGATTAGGGTTTTTTCCCTCTTGTGGCTAGGGAAGGAAAGAGAAGAAAAGGGAAAGTTTGGGGCCATATCCCTCAGCTTTGTTGTGTACGCTTTTTCTCAGCTCTAAGTCCTCAGAAAGTGCTGGAAATCCAATCCAGTAGGGGGAATACTGGGAATTGATATACTGATCAAAGATTTATTGAACGATAGCTGAGTGACAGGCTTTGTGAAGACCTGGGAAGATAGAGAAAACATTCTTCCTGCTTCCAGGATCTAAGGCAAAGTTGTAATAAGAACAGAGTTTGTGGGGCGGTGAGGGCTGTCTACTTTTATTTAGACACGGCCCTGACTTTTGCCAGTAGGTGTATATTGACTGTGTATATTTATAGTTTTTATTTCACAAAGCTTTACTGTTACTGTTTTCCTTCCTGAGTAAATATAGAGAGCATTTCTGTTCGGTTTCTATGAAGAATTTTGAGAAATTTGGTTTGACTTCTTTTAGGCTCTGTGTCTGTGTGAATGTGAGAAGTGAATGCTGTATTCATAGTACCAGTGAATTTGCAAGTCTCCCTTTTGTGAGGATGGCTCACTCATGAGTGTTTGTAAAACCTGCAATTTATTTGAGGCTCTGAAGCTCACAGTCCCTCCCCTCCATCTCATCCTTCAGATCTCAACTTAAACATTATTTTCACTGGGAACATGAGTTAAGCCTCAATTGAATTGTAACAAAGTGTCAGTATAAGTGTGTGCTGTGGCATGGCAGTTTTCTATTGCAGATTGTCCACTGGACTACAGGGTCCTTAAGCAGAAGAACAGTATCTTACGTTAAAACCTCAGTGCTAGGGTGTGGTCAGACACCTTGGATCTGCATCCTGACTGTGCTGTGTTCCAGTTGTGTGACCTTAGCCATGTCCTTAACCACTCTGTTTTCTCATCTACTTCTCACAGTTATGAAGATTAAATGAAGCTGTATATAAATTAAGTCCTTAGCAACAGAGTTATGGCATATGCAGTCATGCACCACATGATGGCATTTCAGTCAGACCTTATATGTGACAGTGGTGCCGTAAGATTACCATGGAGCTGAAAAATTCCTGTTGCTTAGTGACATAATTGTTGTTCATTAAATCAAATTCTTTACTCGTGTTTGTGAGTAGGTGTAAACCAACCTACAGCACTGGCAGTCATGTAAAAGTGTAAGCATATACAGTACATATACATGTACGGTGCCTAACACTTGATGATAAATGCCTGTATTACTGGCTTATGTATTTACTATACTCTTTATCATTATTTTATGTATTTTTTGAGACAGAGTCTCACTCTTGTCGATCAGGCTGGAGTGCACTGGCGCTATCTCAGCTTACTGGAACCTCCGCCTCCCAAGTTCAAGTGATTCTTCTGCCTCCGCCTCCCAAGTGGCTGGGACTACAGGTGCGTGCCACCACCACACCCAGCTAAATGTTTGTATTTTTAGTAGAGATGGGATTTCACTGTGTTAGCCAGGATGGTCTCAATCTCCTGATCTCGTGGTCCGCTAGCCTCTGCCTCCCAAAGTGTTGGGGTTACAGGCATGAGCCACTGCACCTGGCCTGTATTTTATTTTTTATTTTTTGAGACAGGGTCTTGCTCTTGCCCAGACTGGAATGCAATAGTGTGATCATGACTCACTGCAGTCTCAATCTCCTGGGCTCAAGTGATCCTCCCAACTCAGCCTCCCAAGTAGTTGGGACTACAGACTCTCAGCACCACATCTGGCTAATTTTTATATTTTTGTAGAGCAGGGTTTCTCAATGTTGTCCAGGCTGGTCTTGAATTCCTAGGCTTAAGCAGTCCTCCTGCCTCAGCCTCCCAAAGTGCTGGAATTACAGGTGTGAGCTCCCGTGCCTGGCCTTATCATAATTTTACAATGTACTCCTACTTACAACAACAACAAAAGTTAACTGTAAAATAGCCTCAGGCAGGTCCTTCGGGAGATATTTCAGAAGAATGCAGTGTTGTCATAGGAGATGACTGCCATTTGCGTTATTTCTCCTGCAGACCCTCCAGTGGGACAGCGTGTAGGGGTGGAGACTGTTGATTGATGTTAATGATCCTGACCTTGTGTGGGACTAGGCTCACGTGTGTGTTTGTGTCTTGGTTTTTAACAAAGAAGTTAAAAATTTAAAATAAAAGGAAAAAGCTTATGGACT